TACTTGTTTGTTTGAAGAGACTTTGTGTATTGCCTTACAGAGTGCAGCTGTGGTTTTGTTTGGATGAAATTAATCATTGAGCTTTTCACTGTGATGTGGATGTGGCATTTGCTGAAAATATTTTGACAGTTGTTTCTTCCAGGAAACTGTAAGCTTTGTTTTGGGATTTTGCAAAAACTTCTACCGTAACAGCAGGCTCCATCTGGCTAGGTTACTCCAGCTGGTTACTCCAGTTTTGCCTCAGATATTTCACGACCTTTCTGGCAGCATTCCTGTATAAAAGTGTGTGGAACAATGTGGAGTTCAGTCCACGTATTCTCTTTACTTTCCCATGGTGCAGGTTCAGATGGAAGCCATGCCGAACAGAACTTCTGATTATTTCTAGAGTCACTTTTTACTCGCCTGCCTTGTGGCACCAGAATGTTTGTTGATAGATTAAATTTGTGCAGATAATCACTTGAATTAAGAACACTTACCTGTAGTAACTGTGGCTCTTTGATACATTGTCCTCACAGCTACAGAGGAAGTACAAGCCTCAGAAATATACGTAACTGTACTTCTTTTTCATGGGCAAGCTACCTGCTGCTGTAACCTTTTAAGCAATTGAATGCTTAAGATTAATGACCTCAGAATGTAAGTACTGCTTTGGGGGTTGGACTAGATGACCTCTAAAGGTCCTGTCCAAGCCAAACTATTCTATGGTCCTACTAAAATCTTAAAGATGCTTCTAGAAAATAATTAATCACCTGTTAAGTATTGTACTCCCCTTCTTGCAGACCTTTATGCCTAGCTTAGGAGCCCGTAGCTCCACCAGAAGATCACTTTTGTCGGTCTCTTAGCTTCTTCCATTATATAAGTCCCTTTTACAGTCATGTTAGTGTGAACCAGGTTAGGACCTTCCTTTAGGAAAAGTTCAGGATAAGCTGAGACCAAATTATCTAGTATCCCTTAGAGATCATGTTAATGTGAGGGTATTGCGCTAATGCTTGGAAAGAGGCATCTAAGTTTAATTGGTTGGCAGATAAAGGCATTTATTTTCTCTTGGATTTTGCACAGAGAGACCTTCAGTCCATGACATTTTCATGGCTCTTGGCCACAATTACCCCTGCTGTGTGTGAATTTTTATTGCCTCTGTGTTTACTCAGTAGGTATCTGGACTCACCTTTGTACAGATTGTCTTTATTCTTCAGGGCACCACTGTTCCCTGCTGATTTTCTGTGTTAAATTACAGGGAACTTGTTCCGATTTTCAGCCTTTGTTTCTCTGTGGGAACCCTTAAGTAAGGTGCATTGATTCAGATTTTTTTTTTTCAGTTTGTCTGAAAAATCACTGTAAGTCAATTCTTCCTTTTATATATGGGTATTCAGGAGGCAGAGCAAACAAGCTGTCAACTTAGTGTGCCAAAAGGTGGGCTTTCAGCAGTGACTGACATTGAATTAGGCTGAAACTGAGGAAAACCTTCCAATGTATTGCAGATGCAGCAACGAGTTTGCACTACTGTGAATTGAGCACCTCTTTGTCGTGACCATGTATAACTTCATAAGGAATTATCTAAATAAGTGACCTTCCTTTTTAAATGCTTGTTGTATTAATCAGACAAATCTGTCTTTAGGATGTTCTCTAAGTTTTGAAAATACCTTTCCCATTTATTACCACTTGTTTTCTTCAACTTCTTAATGTGCACCTAGACCCAGTCCCTTCAAATCTCTGCCTCAGTTTGTGTGAAATTCCTGAAGCAAACCACTGTAGTATTTTGGTGAAGTACTTTTTACACATTTAATACTAAATATTCTGGGGAGAATTGGACATAATTGAAATAGATGGATTGTAGATGATGAAATAAAGTATGATTCATTCTTTTGTTTTTCAAGGTAGCAGTGATGGTTCTGAACTCAGTGAAGAGACTTCCTGGCCAGCATTTGAAAGGTAACAAAAACTACCACTCAAAACCTGCATTTCTCTTATTCAGACATGGCTCCTTGCAATCTCTCGCTCAGCCCTGAAAATGAGGCTTTAGTGTAATGATCTAGAGATCTTCTAGAGATGTAAGAATATTAATAAACCGTTGTAAGTTCACTGTATCTGTTAAAGCAGCAAAGAAGTAAGTTCTACGCGCTAGTACTAGGGCTTTTGTCTAATTGGGTGCTTACTCATTGCACACTTCTTCTAAATAGCTCAGCCAGGGTACCATTAAACCCCAAATGATGTTTTTGTTTTATATATTTGCCTATCCCATGTATGCTGTTCTTGTGACCTATCTGTGTTTCATTTTCACTTTCCCTGATATATTTAATCTATTCTTGGTCCTTTTGTTCTTGTCATTGACAGTCACCTGTTTTCTCTCCCATCTGCTCTTCACTTCATTGTTACTTACCCCTGTGTCACACGGGAAAGCACAGTACTGTCCCTTGCTAATGCCTGATTTTGTGGTTCAGAATGAATATCCTTGTCAAAATACCTGCTCAGGTGACATTGACCACTTCAATCCTTTCCCATGTTGTATTTGAGAATGTGGAAAAAGACTTAACAGCTGTAATTTAATATAGTATAAGGTAGAAATTTCATACTCCTTATGTCAAAAGATTTCTTCTCCTCCAAATTACTCTAGCCTTCATAGTTTCTTCACTCCTTAGAGAGCGCTTTGGGAACTCTGTTTGAAATTGCATGTTTTTCAGGGTGAGCACTTTTCTCTGCTTCCAGGGAGAGGGAGTGGGTTCCTTACAGACGTTCAAAACATCATGTGTGAAATATCTAGAGATATGCAGCAGCTTTGCGTATGTTCCTTGGTTTAAAAGATGATGAAGCAATTTTTGGAATTTAATAGGTAATACACTGACATGGAAATGTAAAAAAACATGAGGTAACTAGAGAGGCCATCTCTCTAGTTTTGATCCATACAGTGGGTTTCTGTTCTTATAAAAGAGATTTTAAGTGAGGGAGAAGCATTAGTTGTCTGGAATAAACAGCTGCTGGCAAAATTGGGATACATCCAGTGTTACTAATGACTACTTCCTATGCAGTGTGAGTGGGAATTCAGTATCCCCCAGTGATTTAGAAACAGGATCTTTGGGTAGGAGGGCTTAAATCAGCAAAATATAGAATCATAGACTTGTTTAGGTTGGAAAAGACCTTTAAGATCATTGAGTCCAACCGTTAACCTAGCACTGCCAACTCCACCAGTAAACCATGTGCCTAAGCACCACTTCTACACATCTTTTAAATATCTCCGGGGATGGTGACTCAGCCCCTGGGCAGCCTGTTCTAATGCTTGACAACTCTTTCAGTGAAGAAATATTTCTCAATATCCAATCAAAACCTCCTCTGGGGCAACTTCAGGCCATTTCCTCTTGTCCTGTTGCTTGTGATGTGGGTGAAGAGACCAACACCCACCTCACTACAACCTCCTTTCAGGTAGTTGCAAAGTGATAGTCTCCCCTCAGCCTCCGTTTTCTGGAGTAAACACCCCCAGTTCCCTCAGCCACTCCTCATAAGACCTGTGCTCCAGACCCTTCACCAACTTTGTTGCCCTTCTTTGGGCACACTCCAGCCCCTCAATGTCCTTCCCGTGGTGAGGGGCCCAAAACTGCACACAGTGTTCCAGGTACGGCCTCACCAGTGCTGAGTACAGGGGCACAATCCCTGCCCTGGTCCTGCTGGCCACACTATTGCTGATACAGGCCAGGGTGCTGTTGGCCTCTTGGCCCCCCGGGCACGCTGCTGGCTCATGTTCAGCTGGCTGTCGACCAACACCCCCAGGTCCTTTTCCACTGGGCAGCTTTCCAGCCTCTCTTCCCCAAGCCTGTTGCTTGTGAACCAAGTGCGGGACCCGGCACTGAGCCTTGTTAAACCTCATACAGTTGGTCTTGGCCCGTGGATCCAGCCTGTCCAGATCCCTCTGAAGAGCCTTTCTACCCTAAAGCTGATCAACACTCCTGCCTGCCTAACAGGAAGAAATGTGATAAAATTCCTTCTGTTACTTGGGGAATCTGTGTATTAAATATTCTTGGTTTTCCTGGCTTTTCTGTTGTTTGTAACTGGGAAATGCAGAAGGGGTGAGAACCACAGTTACTGATTGTTATTAAAAGCAACAGAAACAGTTTGAAGCTTGAGAAAGAGCTTTCAGCGTTGGGGTGTCCCTTTAGGCTAAGCAAAACTACTCAAAGGACTTCAATTCCAAGTCCTGGCAGTTACATCACGTTAAGGGCAGTATACTAAGTGACCCTTCAGTCTCACTGGTTGTCATCCTGAGTGTCTCTGAATAGATTTCCCTGAAATAGCTCGAATCCAAGAGTGATAGCCTCTTTGTTATGCAAAAAAACAAGCTTAAAGGTAAGAAGAAGAAGTATTTCATTTGCATGCAAAATATATGTACGCACAAATATACAGCTCATATTATGGTTTTCTTTCCTTCATCTTAATTATTGCTTTATTTGTCTATATCTTGAATATTTTTTATTAGAAAGTAATAAATTCAAAGATGTAGGTTATGTTGAAAAGGAAATGGCATATTCTGGGATAGATTAGTAGATGGTAATTCATTAGTATCTTCTTGATAATTCTTCTTGCAGCAATGGCAATAGTTTGAGCTTCAGCTGGTTTTAAAAAACCCAACAAAACTAAAAAAAAAGCATTCTTCTTGTTTAATGCTGCTGACCTTTTCTGTATCCCTTCTTTAAGACTGTTTCATTTGCCTTTTCATTCTGAGTTCAGATTGAAACATGACAATGCTACTTGTTTAGGTGTCTCTTTCTGAGAAACACTGCTTTATCCAAATATAAGCAGCTTCCTAACTAATGCAAAGCCCCTCTCACAGGTGACAGATTGTTAGATTTAAGCTATGTAGGAGATTTTACCTGTAAAATTCTCGTAGGCTTGTACTTAACTGCCTGCTTCTGCAGAATTAGAGCTGATTTTCAATCTTTCAGCATAAGACAAGCAAGTAGAAAAACAGATAAAAATTAGGAGGTGAGGACAAAGTGCCTGTGCTTCTATGGACTTAAATGAAATTCAGTCAACTAAGGGATCCAGAAAGATAAGGTTCAGTGAAGCAAAACAGTATTCAAAAGGCAGCTCGAACATAAGTCCTGGCTATGGATAACGGTATAGATCAGGTTAAGGACTCTAGAATATGAAGCTTATATGTAAAATTTAGAGCTTGTATGAACTGGAGAGTCAAAATGTTGCTTAGTTTACTTCAGTGTTAATACAATAGTATTTTAAGAAGTGTCAGTCATATTTTGATAGTGCTTTTGATTCCTTTCAGCCCCACAGCATGTGTGTGTGTATACTCATAGGATTTGAATAATTTTTGATAGTAACATCTAAAGTCAGAATTTGAAGACATAAAAGTTTTATTAATATGATTCCTTTAGACTGATTTAATCTGCAAGGACTAAATGCAGACTTTGCTCTCAAAGGTATTATTCTTGAGTGCCAATAAAACACTTCAGTATTATGAGTTGTGACAAAGAGAATTCTGATGAAATAAGAAACCATGCTGTCTACTCCTGCATGCATTTTGCTAAATAAAATTATCCTCTGTCTCTTATTTCGAAGAAGTGGCTTTGTGATACGCACACAAAAAATACTACGCTGTTTTAGCAGTCATGCTGTTTGTGTGAATAAAAGTATATGTAATACGTACAATTTATAATGGAATCCAACAGGAACAGGTTGTACCATTCTCTCGGTCCGGGGACAAGAGTGTCACGAAATGGCTATCGAGGCCACATGAAGGCCAGCAGGTACAATCCTCACTGCACCCAGAGGTGTCAGACTTTCCCTCTGGTGTTGGTGATTTGGTTTGGTTTAATAATTAAGTGGGTGTTTTCTGATGTTATCTTTCTAACTTATATGTCAAAATAAAGGTAGAGACCTTTTTCTTCAGACTTAAAGCTTTCCTCTTCTATGACTTAATCTATATAACCATAAGAGCTATTTTTCATTCTGGTCTATAAATCCAAATTCTGAACCATTGAATCTTTATATCAAGGCTTAAAGATGTTTTATTAGAGGTAGCTTTTTAACTGCCCACCACTGTGTAGCAGTGTTGGTAGTTCTCACGTGGACAGCAAAGCTGCTTTTTGTGCTAATGGATGGCATTCAAGAAGTCTTCTTTGCTGGCAGTTCTGTATTGAGTTTCTTTTCCCCTCTGCCCTGAAATAAGAAATATGGCTAAAATGAGTAACGCATTAAAACTGTCCCCAATTCATTATGTATAGTTTTATCAGCAAACTGACATAGTAATATAACTGATTATTCTGATTAATTAAAATACAAATCCTGTCTCCAGCTGTGTGGCACCCTAGCTGGGAAAGAGATGGCCGTTAACTATGAAACTTCTTTCATGTTAAGAAGCAGGCATTGTCTCACTGAATTAAACTCATGTTCACATCTATCTGTGTCCCAAACTGTCTCCATATCATCATCCTGCAATGAAAATGTTTGCTAGATTTCCAGTTTACTTTGAACATGCATGAATGTTAGGGTGGATGAAACAACAAATCCTGGCTTACTTCAAAATGAGTTTCAGACACTGTTTAATTTCTTGGCTTTTCTAGAAAGCTGCTGGGTTCGGCAATATGCTGAATATATGCTCTGACTGACATTTACTGAAGTTTTTTCTGTTGTAGTTTTTTTCTCTTTGAGAATGTTTTGTAAGTCAGTCAGCTTCATAATTTTAATAAAGCTAAGGTTTCTTTTCACAGTGCTGTGCCTGGCATTTGTTTTGGCCCATTGCTCTTAGATCCTACGTAGAGTAGGTGATTAGTAGAGCACCAGATGCATTAAAACACCTTAAAGCTGTGGTTCGGGTTTCTACTCTTTATTATTGCTTCTGCCCACTCTTCTTGCTTTCAGATATTTTAAAGATTGTGCATGTTTGAGCTATGCTTTGTTTTTGATGTGCTAATGATTCTAGTGTTTCTAACAAAAAAAAAATAATCTTTCTTACAAGGGCTGAAGGAGAGGTTTTAACACATACAGCAACAGTATGACTGTCCTTCAAACGTTTGGTTTTTAAAATTAATTGTTCTTGTATTTCAGTTGTGTCTTGAGTTTTAATTTTTTTAATTAAGGATTACCTGCTTGGCTAATTAATTTTTCTGATCACTTTTGCTTGTGACTGTAAATTCCAGAACAGCAATTCCTTGTAACAGCCTATGTCTTTTCCCGCAATGAAGTCCAATGAATAAAAAGTTGGCATTTCTAAATTAAAAAATATATGTTTGCATTAGTTTGTGGTAATGATTGGAAAATGACCTTAGGAAAAATACTTTTTCACACAAGTCTTCACATGCTCATTTCAGCTCCCTAGAATCTGAAGATTTGGCTGTTCATTTGTATCCAGGAGCAGTTACTATTCAAGGTGTTCTCAGAAGGAAGACTTTGTTGAAAGAAGGCAAAAAACCTACAGTAAGATTTTTAATTCATTTTCTCACCTTATTCCTTTGCCCAGCTATAAATACCATAATGTGGCCATTGTGCAACTAATTCAAGTGTCTGAGATCTCCTCTGCCTTGCTGATTAAGGTTTAGGGGCACTGCTAGCATTTGCATTATTCTGTTTGGTGGATTTATTTTGTTTATAAGGCTATACCCATAATCTAGGAAGTAGAAGAGGAATTTAATGCTCCATAAAATGTGTTAAAATTACTGATAACTTTTAAAGAGGGGAGCATGTTTTGTCTGCCTGAACAGTAGGGAGAATCCTAACAATTTGTAAATAGATAATAACCCTTAGCCTTTGCATTGCAAATGCTTGATCATGAATTATAAATCAAAATACATATTCGTGACAATGGAGGGATACCCCGTGGTAGTACATAAAATGGAAAAGGGACAAATGTACTCTTAAGTCAATGAAGTGTTCAATAAGAGTTGCAGAAAGTATACAGTAAGATGCAGAAGTTTGTTCTCAGATGAGTGAGGAGAGGCACATGTTCTTTCTGCTTTCTAGATTTTTAATGCATTCACAGGCCTACACGAATAACCAGAAACAGCAGCTTTGGAAACATGGCTGATGGTTTGGCTGGACAGTTAGTGCTGTCATGTTCTTGAGGATGATGCCTGCTATTTTACAGCTCAATATTATGAAACATTTCGCTTATCCATTGCACTTCTTTTTTTTTCTTTTTTTTTTCCCTCTTTTCTCTCTAGGTGGCATCTTGGACAAAGTACTGGGTAGCACTGTGTGGAACCCAGCTCTTTTACTACGCTGCAAAATCTCTGAAGGCCACAGAGAGAAAACATGTATGTAAAACAGGAATATTCCAGTATCATCTGCCAAAATTAAAATGTGATTTCCTGGTGTAAGCACTGAGAGTAGTTTAGGACTTGCATGATTTCTAGTCAGCACTATCCTGTCTTCCAATCAGTTGGTCACCTCATGTGGATATGCCCTGTGATGGGTTTGCCCTTGGCTGGGGACCAAACCACACACCCACTCATGCAATTCCTCCCCCCCCACCCAAGGATAGGGGCGAGAATGAAAGGGGTAAAGGGAAAAAAGGACTTGTGGGTTGAGATAAGAACAGTTTAATAACTAAACTACAATAATATTGAAAATAATAGTATATACAAATATACAAATGAGTGATACACAGTGATACTGCCCCCCCACCCGATGACCAAGGCTCAGCCTGTTCCCAGCTAACGATCCTGGAGCAGGGAGAGTCCCAAAACCGCATTCACGGAATGGACATGACATTCTGAGCGTCCCAGACTGAGAACTGACTGGGGTCGGGGGGGGGAAGGCCTTGGGAGAGTGACCGCCTGGAGCGAGATGACCCGAAGCAAAAAAGATCTGGAACCAAAAAAGGCCAATCTTCCGGAGGGTCCTCACCTATATACTAGGCATGACGTGTATGTTATGGAATAGATTATTGGCCACTTTGGGTCTCAATCCCAAACCTAAGATCAAATCCTGGGCTAGTAACTGGGGCTGTGCTCCCTCCCAGCTTCTCCTGTTTGCAGACAGCCAGAGAAGCTGAAAGACCTTGGCAGCTGCGTAAACATCACTTTTTATCAGCTTTCTTCTGAGCACAAATCCAAAACACAGCCTCTTGCTAGCTATTATGAAGAAAGTTAACTCTGTCTCAGTTTAACCCAGGACAGCCCTAATAGAAGTATCATGCAGATTTATGTGCTACACCAAAAATATCTGCTTTGACTATGCCATGGGTCTCTTTTGAATTTGTTGTTTGATAGGGAAGGGAACTATGTCATTGGGTCTGTCTGCTTTTCTAAGGTAGAAGTCATATCTTTTGATGATCTTCGAGTCTTGCAGTAGTTTGTTGCTAATTGAAATCCAGACAAGCATTGATGTGGAAAGACTGAGGAGTCACTCCATGTGACATTAAACATGTACTGGTTTCATGTATGTGGTAAAATTAGACTACTCTCTTTTTCTGTCTAATCCTGTAGTCCATTAGCTACAGTGGAGTACAGAACAATTCACAGAGAGCTAGCATATCGTATGATGCTGGCTTTCCTTTTATTCACTGCAACTTAATTTGAAAGAAGCTAAAAATACTTCGCTTATGTGGGAAAGTAATAAAAGGATTTTCTGTAGATGTTCCAGGGATGTTATGATGTGCGTAGTTCCTGTTTTCACTGGTTAATTATAAAGCAAGAGGATGCTGCCAGAGATTCTGTTAAGAGACTTGGTAAAATTTGAGACACTTGGATCTTTTTCCAAATTAATTCACTACTCAGAACCATTAATTATAGTTGCCTTGGCCAGTGTTTCAGTTTAATTTATGACAACTGTCACTGAAGAACATTTGCTTTGCATAAAGCTTATGTAATTTTACAAACTGAAATGTGCTCTTAGAATCCTTGTAAGGGAACTTATTTCTATTTCTTTTTGGTACAAAATACTGTCTTCTTATTCTAACATATGTATGTTCAGAAGGTAGAGATTGGTAAGCTAAGATTTCTCATTAGTAGACTCCTGGATATTTGAATTTTCTGTGTGGAAAATTTGTACGTAATGTTGTCTTAATCTACAAAAAAAGTAGAGTATTTTCCACTTTTATCGAAAGTAGTTCATTAGGAAACAGTATTCTAATACTTAGAATTGTTTAATAATAGGTAATTACTTGTAGAAATATTTGCATAGTTTCTTTGCTGTCATCCGTCTGCCTCACCCCTTAATAGCTTTGATTGCTTAGGTGAAATCGAAACTGGTCCTACTTAACTTGTCTTGACAGTTAAGGCAATACTAGCCCAGACCAAAGGCTTGGTAGCCGAGCATCCTGTCTCCTGGGTGTCTTCAGAGAAGTGTATGTGTTTGGATGTATTTGCTTCTGGTATCAGTGAAAACCTCGTAGAAATAGTCTGTCTCATTAAAAGGAAAGAGCAAACTTGTGAACTGTGATGAGCAGAAATGTGAATTATTAAAGCAAAAGAAAAAGAACCAAGAGAAAACTTGTGCTGGCATTATGTCACTAACAGTTAGTTGCTTGGTTTTTTCTGGAAACACTGAGAAATGGAGAATAAATTTTTTGTAATGTCAGACTTTGTGTTCCTGTTACTGATGTGATGCCTTTAGGCTTTATGCCAAAATTGCATTTTGTTTTCTTTTAAGAATAGAATATTAAATTGTATGTCTCTCTCGTCCATTGTCTGTCAAAATACTGAATGATGGAAGACTTTACCATACTTGTACCTATTAAATCAGAAGCTTTTTCAGTATTGTGTATAAATATTTTAGAACAATCTAAATAACATATGGGTTTAGAGAATTTGGAAAAATTGCATAGCTGGTAATTTTATTGTTTGGAAATTTGTATATTGAATTTTTGTGGTCCATTTGCTTAAGTTCCCTTCAGAGTAACAATTTTAGTCATTTAAATGGTCTTGCCCTTTCTTTAGGAAAAGTAGATGAGGTAAAAAGGTAACAAATGTAAACATTCAAGTCTAGTATCTGATCCTCTGGAGTCTCTGTTACTGTGAAAGCCTTTACTTTTGTCTTGAAATGCAGTCATATCCATTTAGAATGCTCTTTCAAAAATTATTTTCTGAATTGACTTTTAATATTCCCCAAACCACTGATGTGTTGTGATACCTATAACAGCTCAACTACTAGTAAACAGACACTAGTGCCTAAGAAGCTAAAATCTGGCTCTCATCTTTATTTTCTCGTGTTTGTTTGTCCAAGCATGTGCCAGCAGAGCAATAACGAAGTTTGCAGATAGCGGTGAGGAGACACTCAAGTCCATAGCGCTGGCAGGATTACCTGTTAGAAGCCTGCCAGCGTTGTGGCTTGCAATTACTGAGCAGCATTTGAGCAATGCAATTCCCAGGAAAGGGAGATACAAGAGTGATAGTAAAAAGCAATGACTGCTAGAGCAGATTTTTTTTTTAACAGTTGACTCTGTGGAATTGGACTGAACTATCCAGCACAACCTTGGATTTGTCTACGCACAGCTGATGTCTTGGTTTTAGTTTTTTAGGGCAGCAAATGTATTTTGTTCTGTTTGTGGATGCAAAGCGTGGTATGAAGCTCAGGTCTCTGATTCGGTTTGCCAGGTGCAATCATGGTTAAAATAATGTAATACCTATTAGTTATGCTTTGGATTTTCTTTTATTTAAACAAATAGTTCACAGTGAATGCATGTGTACATCTGCTCCAAAGGTTATTATAACACTTAGTATAATCTACTGCTGGTAAGGACTCAGATGCAGACCAATATGATCATGCTGTAGCCATTTATTATGCCTTGATTACACACTTTTATACAGAGCTCTTGCAGATTTGTCAGCTACTAATTGGATACAATGATTCTAAGATCCTAACAACAAAGTTACTATTGGCTAGCTTTAGTCCTGGGAACGGGACCCTTAAAATTACTTAGTCATGCTGATTATTTACCTTCAGTTCCTCCATATCTCACTTACATTCTGCATAATTGCCTACATTCTCATTCCTTGCTGATGTTTTTTCTCCTTTAGTACAAATCAACTACGTAACCTTTTTCTTCTAAAAAGGTTCCCACAATAATCTTTATGCTGAAATTAAGGTGGAAGATAACCCTGGTAGCTTGTGGGAGACTGAGGCTAGGGGATCAGGGGGAAAAGCTCTAGTTTATTAAACAACCTGGTAAGTGACGGGCAGAAACTTTGTTCAGCTAGTCTACCTATGTTCTACTTTTAACATAGCTATTGATGGCTTAGATTTCCATCCGCTTCACTACAGGTGAAAGCCTCAGCTTTTGTTCTGGAGTCCATGAAGATGACTTGTCAAGATTCATGCTTCAAATCATATTTGGTTGCATTTTCAGAAAGAAAATTAATCAAGAGAGAATGAACAGTAGATGATCAACCATCTGTAGGTAGATAGTGCATGGGTACATGTTCTTTCTAGAAATACTGTCCAGTTATATTCCGTAGAGGTCCATTCTGCAAAATAGATTTGAGGCTAGATCTAGGTTTTGGTTTTGTTACTGTCCAGATTAAATGGTTAAAAAATGGATTAAATGGTTATAAAGGATGATGCTGTCTACTTCCAAGCGGCTTTCTTTTTCAAAGTTTGATACATTTGAGATTTACATAGATTCAAATATTCCAGGCATCTTCTGGAGCCATGTAAGCATCTGTCTTTTCAGCTTCCTTTCTCAGGGCCTCTGTGACATGGAAAGGAACACTGGCAATGAAAAAGCCAGTCTGCTATAAAGTTTCCTGGCTAGAGCTCTCATGGTAAATGTGTCTTGATTACAGGCATGCTTTTGACCATTCTGCTCTTGCTATTGCTTCAGGCAGCTGAGACTGAGGACTTGGAATGCACTGACTCTGAAAGCTCTTCCAGGCTTATAAGAGCCAACCTCTTTGGAAAATTACCTCATGAAAATCATAGTGTAATCCAGCAAAAAGGGCAAGAAATCCTCTCCCTTTTAGACTTGGGCAAGCCAGCTCTTCTTCTCGTGCCTATGGTCAAAGCCAAATACAGTGTATTCCAGATGTGAATCCTAGTCCAAAGGAAGAGGATGCTGTAGATACCTGAATGTGGCAAATTTTCTTGTGCTGCAACTGCTAAGAAGGACTACGAGACATAATGAGTTTTGTATTTTAAATAGTGAACAGGGTTCAGTTATTACTACACTAATGGAAAAAATTTTATGTGAATTTTAGAGCCCAGAGATGTGGTACAGGAGAATCTCAGAGGAACGTTTGTAGCTTTTATCTCATGCTGGAATTGTACGCCCAAACAAGCATCTGTGATGAAACTGTAGGATTTGCACACTTTTAGAACTGGACAATAGTAAAAATAGCCAAATTAAAATTAGTCTTAAAGTGTTCACCCTGAAAAATGCGAGTACACCCATAAAAAAACCTGTTTATAGTGATTGGGCTGGAAGAATCTTGCCAATTTCTGTGACAACATAGCATGCTTGAGAGATTTTTCCATGTTTGTAGGTACTTGGAAAAGCAACAGAGAATTTTTAAAGCTTCATGCTTGAGCATGAACCCTTGTTCATTCCAAGCCTTCATTGCTTGTTATATTCAGAATTAGACCCATTTGTTGGCACTTGAGAAAACTTGATAGTTGTTGCTCAGGCACTTTCAGCGAAATACCCTGATAAAGAATTCTAGGAAGTATGTTCAGCCACCAAGAAAATGATTTGAATATTAGAAAGCTGTAAACATCTCAGGAGATGAGGAGGAGGAGATTTGTATGTACCAAAAAGTTGGAGTGAGAAGTCTGTTCACAGAATTAATCAGTTTTTCATTCAAAGATTTATGCATAAATACGTTTGAGCTCAGAACAACCGTAACAAAAAAATATATTTATGTGAAGGTTAGCACCAGAGCTGTGTAGTTTTCTGTATGTATGAGAGTGTCATTCCAGTGGCTTGTATAAAAAAAGCAAAGAGGAACCAGGAACATTAAATTACAATGAAGCTTTCATTCCCTTCATGTTAACAAAGCAGACTTGCTGTTAGCAAGGCTCTGCATCAGTGGAGAACGAACTGCCCTGGGGGACTACATAAACAGGAATACAAACCCAGCTGTGCAAAGGGATGGAAAACTGACATGTGTTTCAAGTGATGAAGGATTGAATGCTGGCAGGAAACACTTTCCTTGTGTAGCTTTTTACTTTTTGGAGAAGTACCTTGATTAACTAATTGTTTTGAATAAAATGAAAAAACAAGTGAGCTCGAACAGTTTTGATTGCATGGTAATTTGACATATTATATACCTACTGTTACGATAGATAACTAAGATAGGAAAGTGCACATGTGCTATTTTCATTAAACTCTAGGAATGAGTGCAGTTAAAGAGGTACCTTGTTGATCTGTAGACTATTAAAACTGCTTTGTGACTCAAATTTCCTCCTCTGTGAAAAGGACCTATTAGTGCTTTGTAGGACTCCTTGGAAGCTTGCATTTTGCAGGTCCCTTTTAAGTGTAAGTTGTGTCCTCTTGTTTTTCAAGGCAGTGTCTTCAGTGGGTCCATGGCAATTACTGAATATATACTTTATTTTTTTAAGAACTTGTGAGCTATATTCTTATTTTATTCTTTGTAGATGTCTTTATTCCTTCTTTCTGATAAAATTCCTCAAAGTTTTTTATTACTGACCAAAATGTTCAAAGAAATTTCCATTTGTTTGGAAAGAAGTTACGCTATCCAGCCATCACTGTAATGAAATGTTGTCTGATACAGCTTTATAATTTACTTCCTCTTTTTATGAGGTGTTACCAAATCTCTCCACCTCCCAAAAGCAATAGAGCTGCTTAACTTTAGTGTATGTGTTTCTCTGCATTTTATGAGGGATGGTCTTTTCCCACAGTTTTATTCATAGTAATATCAAAAAAGAGGGCATCCATCTCAAAGTTTGGCAGGCAGGTCTTTCCAAAGAACAGACATCATCACTTTTATGCTTAAGCTATCCGTACAAGCATCCCTTCAAACTTTCCAAGCTTTTATATTTCCACTGACATTACACAAATGTCAGCTGAACGTGACTGGTAGGAACTTGTGATGGAATGGTTCCTACAAGTGTAACTATAGCGACATAAAGAGGGCAGTACACAGATGATGCATTCAAAAGTTTATAAGATCTAAGGAGGTTGGACTCTTATTCTGAACTTGGTTAAAGTACTTTTTGTTTCAAATATTGGTCTAACATTTGTTCAATTTAAAGTTCTAATATATTTTTAACTGAGGTTTAAAATGTAGCCTGTTGCACAAGTCCCAGACAGATAAACTTCTCTGGACATTCAAAGTCTCCAGTTAATCTATGGCATAGATTAGAATAACTGACATTAGACTTGCACTGGAATTTTATTTATAAAGTAATTACATTCCCATATAGAGAATATTCTTAAAAGGTCTTACTTTGCTTGTGGTACCCTCAAAGTTATTGGCAGTAACGCTTCCTTTTGCTGACCCAGAGTTCTAGGTTGGTAACGGTAAAGCAGTATTTCTAAAATGACACAAAAGACATTGATGCTTAGTGTTGTAAACCTGCTGTGTGGCATTAGTATGAAGAATAAAAGTATTCTAGTACTATAAATCCATTTTAATGACTTCAGATATCCCTGAGATTGTTTTAGCTTTATACTTTCTAATAATGTAATTAAAGAGGGGTCAAAATTACTGTGCTAATAAAGGGATTAGAATAGGGATTTAACAAGAGGAGGAAGACACATCTGATAAGGACCAGCATAGAGCAGAGTTGGACCTTCTGGGCAGAGAAGTGAGGTGAAGCACTGCGGAGGGTGAGAGTGCTAGGACTGATGAAGAAAGTCTGTGTCAGAGCCATGAATACAGGAAGAGGAGATCTGGCAACTAATGATTTGAGAGAAACTGAATGAATTAGATATAGGGGAGTGAAGGGGACTGCCTGAGCAAGTAATGAGAGGTGGGTTGTGAGGGTCTCCTAATAAATAAGGAAGGAGGCCAGGGAGAGGAAGGTTAGTGGTTTGGAAATCAGTTGGATTTAATGGGCAAGTAGCCTGGAACTGAGAGGAGAAGCCTGAGAAATAGAAAATAATACTGGCCAAGTGAATGAAAAGGAGAGTGGGACCAGGGAGCTGTCAGGAGAGGGGCTGGTGTAGCAGAGACAGGTGTTGGGCTTAGAAGAGGCCTCAGTTATATGTTGGTGTGTGAGTAGCGCTATGAACAGGAGAACCTCGTCATTTTGAACATCTTGTCAATAAATGAGCATGTTATGTTCTGCGCACCTGTTTATTGAATCTGCACCCTTGTTTGATCCATTTCATTCATCAGGTCATAATATTTAATTACACAGTTGTGTTATCTTGTCCTCAGGATTCGTGTTATGTGTAATTGCAGACTATTGTAATTAATGCCTGTTAACTTTAAATAATTATGGCACAGACAAGTTTCATTCTTCTGTTAACAGTGGAGGGATTCGCTTTACATTTGTTACATTTGTACTTTTTTTTGGACTATAGTATACGTATACTATACGTGCAGTAATGTGGTGAGGAATGGCATTGTATTCATACAGTGTATTTTAGATGTCTGTTGACACATTTTGGGGGATTGTGATATTCCTTTTAATTTGTTTTGAGTATCAGTCATTGTGGTAAGTTCTGTTTTCACTAATTCCATATAAAATTCATAAATTTTATTAATTTTATGAACTGCTAGGCTTCCTTTGAAGTTATTATTTGTCCTTAACAGTATCACTGAGAAGTGCTCTTTTGTTGTTCTGTGCAGTCAGTCTGTCTGAAGCTTCTTGTTTTACTTTAGTTTCCACCTCTGCTTGTATTTTCAGTTCAAATCCACGCCGAGTAAGAATGTGTCAGTGGTGGGCTGGATGGTGATGATGGCAGATGACCCTGAACATCCAGATCTCTTCTTATTGACCGATTCTGAGAAGGGTAAGCAATGTAGCACCAAGAGTGCAGTCGTTCCCAGAGTAAACATTTGCTTTGCTGAGGTGTTCATAGGCAACTAAATGGAAGGATGTTATATTTTACTTATTCAGCTGCTCTCCCAACATGTCCGGTTTGCCTTTAGAATGCTATGGGAACACTTGTCTGTGGAGAATCCTTAGAGTCTTTATTCAGTTCTAAGAACTCTCCAAGTGATTAGCAACTCCACTTGTGATTTTTATTGGGAGAATTCATCTGCATTCTTTTAAACTATATTTAGACCACTCAGAGGCATTTTCATGTATGTGAACATGTAAGTAAGAATTAGTAAAAAAAGTTCAGTATTCAGCTAACACTAGGTGCCTGACCAGTCCCCTCTCCTCTCCAAATGAAAAATAAAACCCAAACCATCTATTCAAATGTAGCACTATTACCAGGAGGAATAAAAAAAACCCAAACAAATAAATAAAACCCCAACAACAAAAAATAACACTTTAACAGAAATCAAGGCTCCTCTGCAAAATAGTAGTCTGACGTAGTGCCCTGGTTTCAGTTTGAACTGTGAAGAAATCGTTACTTTTCCATAGAATTTCAAGCTATGCAGAAAGAGCATCATTAGCAGTAATATTAGCAGATAAAGGAGCTTAACATTATTGCTTTGTCTGCTTCAAGTCTTAGTACATTTTATTTCTGAGCATCTGTTCTAGCACCACTGATATAGTCGTGGAAATAATTAATACTTGTCAGCTTAAACTTGGCACCCGCAATCTGCAATGTTCTTGTGATACTCGGCCTTTCTGAACCCAAGCAAGCGCTGTATAACACCAGACACTGAAAATACTAGTCTGAAATACAGAAATCTGTTTAGGAACAGTTTTCAAATATTTTCAACTGTAGCTTTTTAGAGTGCATCAGTGCTATCTTGCACTTCATTTAAAAAAAATATTATAAACAAATAGCAATAATGGCAATGAACAAAAATATTTTTGTTGTGTGGTTCTGAGAAAGAAATGTCTTGTTCTTTCCTAGTTGATGCTGGTGTTAGTTGAAATCTAGAATGTTGGAAAGGAAGATAGGCAAGCTGAGACTTCTCTCTCACTAGCTCGAACAATTAAGTTGCACCTATGCCAAAGTGTAAAGTTATATGAACCATCTGTTACTAAATCTTTTCATAGTGTTTTAATTTTGAGTTGTTTGAATATAGTTAGGGTTAAAGTATATAGTATTGTTTGTGTTTCTTTATCAGTTTTTTCTCTACCTTTCTCACTTAGGAAATTCATATAAATTTCAAGCTGGAAACAGAATGAATGCAATGCTCTGGTTTAAGCACCTGAGTGCTGCCTGCCAAAGCAACAGACAACAGGTGAGAGCAAGGTGTTGAAAAGGAGTGGGAGCTGTTAAGAGCTCAGAACTGACAGATCTTCAAGGTGACTGAGCTGTAACTGATCACTTTGTGTGAAGAACCATCTGCTCTGAGCAGCCTGCACATCGATTTCACATGCGTATTGATTTACCTTAGCTTTCCTGTTTGTCCCTTTGCAAACAAGTCCTCAGAGCTTCTGTGGTAATGAAGAAGGATTTGGGGCTATCTTGAGGCTAATTTAAAGTAATGGGGGAGGTGGAAGGAATGCTCTAAAATGTCTGTCTGAGTGGCAGTATTTTTGTCATTGCCCATTTTAAAAAGGCTATTTTACGGTAATATAAAAAGCTGTAAACTGTAGCATTCAATATCAATCCCAGATAACTCTCCCATAGTGCTATTTGGTCAGGTCTTGGGCACACATGTTTTCTGTTGTTTGTATGTATTTCTAATATGTATTTAAAAAATAGTTTAGTCCTGGGTACATTTGGCAGACTTTGAAAGCAGAAGTAGAATTTTCCATGAATCAGAAGGGAATATGACCACTCCGACCCCTATTAAATTCTGTCCCTATAAATTCTTACAGACGTTTTTCATCAGCAAAATCCTTTTTAAGTTACCACTTTGACATCCTGAAATCTCCCTTTTCCTTTGCACGTTTGTTTATGGATTTCTCGAAGCAAAAGTACTATTGAATTTCAAGGGGAAACAAAAGGACCATTCCAGATCCTTCTGTGCTTTCTTGTTCAGTTCTGCTTCTGAGAGAAATCTAAGGAGGGTTGCAGAAGCTCTCTTGAAAGTATTTGCGATAGCACTGAGGAGAGGGAATTGTGTTCCTGGCTGTAGAAGGTGAGAATAGTAGCAAATAGTGGCAAATTGTTTGCAAGAAAGGGGTGACTTCCCAGCAAGCCTGAAAACTGCCCTCTGAGGACAGCTTTTATTCAATAAGGCTTAACAATGCTATTTAATGCAAGCTTGTTTAAAGCATTCAGCCCCTAGCTTGTGCAAAAGCAGCAGGCTTAAGGATCTTGGCAGGTCTTCCTGTGGAAAATATGACAGCAAAGTGAAGATAAGTGTAGCAGATTTTAAAAGAAAAAAAGGGGGGGAGGATTCATGAAAAAAAAACTACCATTAAAAGGCCAAAACCCCTGCCACCATAATTTGTTGCATATTTTCCATTTTCTGGCATGTTGTGTAGTTGTACTATATGGGTTCTTGCAGCATAGTTGCTCCCATAGAAGCATCTACGCTTCACACAAACGTCAGGTTACAAAGGTTGGTTTACCAAATGAGTTAAAAGAAAAAAAAAAAAAAAGGGATCCTGTAAAATTTTTCTCTTGATGGTGATTTGACTCCTGAACAATGCTTTCCCTAGAGAGATACCTTAAGGTACTGTTCAAAATGGAAGATCTTGCTTGCTTGTTAACCGTATGACTGCCTAAGAAGGACTGGATGTTTAAATCTGCTTTCGACAGAGTTGTAGACGCCTCCCCAGGTGAATAATACTAGGAACTATTAATAGATATTATTTTTAATTTTAACGGTGGAACTTTTGCCCAGTTGATCATTCTTGCTCTTACAGGTAAATGGTATAGGCAAAGCAAGAAATGCTTGCTTCAAATCTGACCAAACTGGGTCCTTATTGACTGTCATCAGGAATGTGGTGGTTCTTTAATAACCTGAGTAAACAAGAGATGTTGCTGTCAGGCAGATTCCTAATGGGGAGAAAATAGGGATATAAACTAATGTAATGCAAACTAGCTTTCACCTTCATGAAAGGGGGTGATGTCTGCAGCAGGCATTTAGGTTTCCTATGGGAAAAGCCCAAGCAAGTGTTTATGCCTCGTTTTTTTAAATTAGTCTTAAAAATACTAGAGGGCCTGCATCAATCACTGACCTGTGTGCCAAGAATTCTCTAGCTGGGACTCAAGTGAGAAGGTTCTGCTTGTGTAGTTTGGTGCTGAGATTTATCATGTTAAGGTTGTTTTGCTGACAACTTAAATCTTAAATGTCATCAAAATTAATCAGATCTAGGGCCATATAATAAAATTATACACCATGCAGCAGTTTAATATTTTGATTGTACTTGGGTTTTCTACAGCTTTAAGTATCCTTGTACTGCTGAATGATAGTTGCATTCCTCCTCCTTTTTTTTTTCTGGAACAGAATAAATGTTAATGATGTGCATTTAAACAGGTGGCTAATCTGTGAAACAGTGGAATGCAAGTACCCAAAGTAAAATCTGCTATCTCTTATATTTTTGTTTTCAGGTTCCTGCCAACTTGATGACCTTTGAATAATAGGCTAATTCGAAACAAAAAAAAGAACAATTGGAACCATCTCATAATTGAGAACGAGGTCCTGATGAAAAATGTGCCAGCTGTATTTTGTGCTAGAACGGAGCCTGTCAACTCGATCTCTGAACTCTGGAGCCCTGAACAAAACCACTAAAGGTTGGGGAGTAGAGTCCCCCAAATTAAAAATGGAGTTGCAACATGAATTGCCATGGACCATGCTTCGTTATATTCTCTGAACTGACCTGTGGAAACCACTGCCTTAAAGAGTGAAAGGAAAAACAACATGAAACACCAAATAGTGTGTGTGAAACTTCTGGCGGTGCTGTGCTTGAGTTAAATAGATTGTAGCTAGTTTGAGTTTCTTTTAACTTTATACTAATTTTGAAAATAACTCACCTTTTTAGGCATTCTTAAGAAAACAAGTAAACTGGTATTTAAGAGTTGTATCAAAAGCTATGTATGAGCCAGGTAAAAGAGGTACTACATGTTCTAGAGATGTTGTTTAGACTATACCAGGAGTTCTTGATGGGAGCTCGTCCCAGGCACACTGAGCATGGAGCAATGTTATTTCTCTCAGACCTACAAATGTAAGAAATGTAACAACTGCAAGTTTAAAATAGCAGTAAACTTGCAAACCATAGTACTGTATGGGAGCCATATTCCCTACAAGTGGCACAAAGGCTGAGCACTTACACACCAAAAACTTTTTTGGTACGTTGTTACCTAATTCCTGGTTAGAAATGTAGTTCACGTGTTTTGGGTGGTCGGGGTGTGTGTGTGTGGAAGAGATGAAACTGAAAGCACTGTTGGGTCAGAACTGAGTGTTTTCTTCCCATTTGTTTCTACACCTGTCACTCTCCTACATATGAAGGTTGAATGACAAAAAAAAACCAACACTTGGATATAGTTCACTGAGACATTTTCCTTCTCTGGGTATCTGTTAATTATCAATTGGGGACCACTGTCAGTGGATGGTGTTTCTTAATATCACTTAAGTTTTTAACAGATAGAGGCACAATTTCAAGCTTTCATGTTCTCATTTGGCAATAATTGATTTTTAGTAATCGGTCTTGGTCAAAATAGTTGACATTGTGTGGTATTGCTAACATGGCCTAAAGCAGACCTGACATGCAGAAGCTCTTTTGATCTACAGGCAAATAATTCATTCATTAGAAGGTAGGATAACCTATGGAGAGAAAAGGTGTGGGACTATCAAAATTCTATCCTTAACAGGATAGTTCTTGGTCACTGAAGTTACTCACAGAGAAAAACTTTATGGTTGTAAAAAGGGAGCCGTGCTTTATCTGTGTGTTTTTTGCTTACGACTTTGATTCTTGCTTTATTTGGGTTTCCTTGACATCACCTACATCTAGTTTCCTGGATGATTAGTCTGTCTTTAATCTTCAAAAATATGATGTTTGTAAAGCAAGGAAACATTGTCCAAAATATGACTCTGATATCAGAACTCTGAAGTCTGTGAAAAAGTAGTAACTGTTCCATTGGCATTGTGGTTTAGTGGCCGTAAATACGCTTGCAGATTCCACCATGAATACTCCTTTTTATAAAAAAGAAACAAGCTACCTACCAGTCTGTGGCAGAGTTCTCTGACTATCTAATAAAGGTTTCTACTAGTAGTGATCATTTTGAAAATGTACAGTTTTTTTATTGCATCTGAGTAGAAGCCTATAAGTTCACTTTTTGGGTCCTTTCCAGAGTCAAATTTATCTCTTAATGGAAATACTAAATTTATGATTTCTGGGGATGGGGGGGGGGAGCAAAAAAGAAGGATAATCCAATCTCAAAGTAAAAAACCAAACCAAAACACAAAATACCCCAACCACTTGGTGATGTAGAGGAGAGGGTAAATAGGCTGGTTTATGTTTCCAAGACTTGTTCTTGTGAATTGGCTCTTGGTAGAAAGAAAACAGTAGAAGGATGCTTCTGTCAGAATTACACCACAAGCACTGTGGAAATTTGTGTCCCCTTGTAATTTTTTTGTTGTTTTGATGGGGAATGAATAGTCTGTTCTGATCCTGAAGTCATGTATTTTGGGAAGGGGTTGTTTGTGCTTGAATCCCTCTGCAATTCACGTCTCCCAAGTTTACCCATGTTGGGTGTATAGTAAAGACAACATCTTCACAGCCAGCAGTGTTACTGTCGTAGACTTTGCACAAATTTAGTTTGGGGTTTTTTTTTCATTTAAAAAATGACTTAATGTGTGTTTCTTCTCAACTAAGTGTTTTTTAACTATGTGTGTACTTTTTTAAGCATTGTGGATAATAGCCTGTGGATTTTGAATTTTTAAATAAGCTATTATAGGTTCCTTGCAGCATAACTGTATCTGTTCTTCTGTTAGTGAAAGGAAACGTGCAACTGGGAGCCACAGCCTGACATCACACAGCTTTGCTAAAGACAGAGCCAGGTCAGGTGTCATTTATTATTTCTGTATTTTTCCAGCTGGTTTGAGTTAGGTTTTTATGGTAGGAAGATGGTGGGGAAAACAGTTCACAAATCATCATTGAGTGAATTGTTGCTGTTACCAGCTTTCATTGTTCTGAGGCCTCCTACTCTTCCTTGTTTTTCTACCCTCAGATATGCTGGTTTTTGTGGGAGGGATTGAATAATGTGGGAGGAGTTTCTTAAAATGTGTAGCCAGAATAACTGGAGTGATGATTAATGACAATGCAGAAAACATTATTGGCACTTGTTACAATGAGTAGTTCAGTACTTTCCTATTGTTTACCTCCTATTTAGCAATGTAGTCCTACAGGGCAACACAGAAATACTGAAGTATTATGTATTGTGAGATAAGTGGTGCTCAGAAAGAGGTGGTAGTTTTGTTCCCTGAGGGAAAGCTGCCTCAGCTAAGCTTTGGAAGGACTCAGACAAGTCAAATACACTGTAAAGAACAGTAATGCTCTTTTTTAAAAAGGGGGTTAAAAAAGTTAAAGAATTAAAACCAATGCTGAGAAAACAAGGATAGCAACAAGCTCATGGCATTCAGGTAAGACTGTCATCCAGACTACTTCAGATAGTTGGCTGTTACTCTTTGATTTTTATTTTTAATGTATTGCTCTAATTCTTTATCTTGTTAATACTGCTGAAATACTTCAGCTAATATTTGTCACTTTGTTTCTTAATATTTTGATTTTGAAACTGAAGATGCCCCTTACAGTTCCTTGTTTTGGAGGCATATGAGCAAAAACTATTCAGAGTAGATCTTCATAGAAAGTCTTCACATGTAGATGTTAATCACCTGCTGACTTGCGAACTATTTTGTAAGCTAAGCTAACAGTCTTGGGAAAGGTTGAATAACAGGGAATGTCAGGCTTATGAAATTGGTGCAATGCATTAGAAGTACATAACACTGCACTGGTGGTTGAATACTTACTGCTGACTTCTGTCTTTCCATCTTAGTCCGTACTAGTTTTGGCTAGGTTTTCCAAACCTGACTTCTATTCCAGTGTTCTTAGGAAGCAGATAAGGAGCTTTATTTTTGAAAAATTCTGATAGTTTGAGTAAACACAGTTCATCCCAGACACAGGTTTCACTTTGCAGACATTTCACGCCAGAGGAATATTACTCAGGCTATTATGATTCATTAAGTATTTAGGTGCAAGTTATAAGCATTCAAACTACAAATAATGAATGAATGAAAATAAATAATTAATGAGATTTAGCCCCCAGCTTTAAAATTCTGTTAGTTAGCTCTTTTAAATTGCTGTGAAAATCATATCCTACTTAAAAAAGACTTAAAAAAAAAATACTGTAGTGGCAGACATTACTTGTCAACTCTGGAGCTGGCATATCAAGCAGCCCTCTAGTTATGCAGATGTTTTAGCCTCCTGCTTGAGGAATCAGTGTCTCTTTTGGGGAATCAGCTGATTAACTTTCCTCCTCAAAATGCAACTGCAGAGCACTTGAACTTTTACCAAGAAAAGCACTGATAGAAGTATGCATATTTGAAAACATACTGGGAGCAAAAGAAAGCATAAAAAAACACAGCAGGATTGTATTAGTTATCTTTTCCTCACTAGAAGCAAATTTAGCTAATCTAATTTTTCTTGCAACATCAGCCTCCTCTATTTGCCTTCATACATTTTCAACAATAGTCCTCTTCTATTAGTATCAGACATAACAAATGTTAAAGGGAAATGCTTTCCCTTCCAGCAGAAGTAATTGCAGGTTTTTTGTGCTGCTCAGGCACTGGAGGAGGTGAGGTCCCTTTTTGATAAAAGGCAAATTGATCTTGCGGTTTTGGTTAACTGTAGCAAATCTTGTCCAAATCAAGATAAGATCATGGGATGTTGTTTCTTTTGGCTCTGTCAGTGGCATTTTTCTTCATTCTTTGCCCTTTTTATTTTGCCCTACCTCACCAGCATTAGCAGTTCCAGTCTTTTCCATGGCTGGCTATGGTATGCAGCCTGTTGGAAGAAGCATCAAGACACCAGGGCTGGTACTAAATCACATCAGCTAATTCCCTATTCTCCCTACAAGGACAGATTTGAAAAGTTTTGTTATTATTTAAGTATTGCCCTTTTTCTTTAATTTTTTTCTAAAAGTGGCTTCTGCATAAGGTGATCTGGCTTGGGAGAGTTGTCATTAAAAGAATCTGTACGAGTGGACACTGAATGTGTTTGTAGGGGTTGTCTTTTTTTTAAAACCATCGTTCTAATTTATAGTGCATCAAGAGAGTGAGTGCTTGGATTTAAGGAGGACTTTTTGTCAGTGCCTTATTATTAACTTGAAGACCAATTCCTTTATTTACAGTGCTGAGAGTACCACACTGACAGACTTGCATAATGTGTCCTTGATGTACCAAGGGGTAACATTCCTTTCAGTCATTACATTTCTGCAGAAGTTAGTTGTTTTGGTCAATGTAAAATAGTTGTGGCTTGAATTGCTTTAGTGTTTTGTGGGGTTTTTTTTACTTTCTGTGTTTGAATAGCCTCTTTTTAGGAAAAATGCAGAGGTATTTGGTAGCTTGGGCTTGTTCAGCTTTTATCAGAAGTAGCTCAGACTTCTTCAAAATTAATTTATTTTTATTTGGGTATGTCTCTAGATTTAGTAGCGGGGGGGAAATTGAAAATAGTCATCCAAGTCATGGTCTAGACCACGTGAACTTAAGAGCTCACATTATTAGAAAGGAGCTTGCTTTTCTCTCTCCCGTGTTGATTTAAGCATTGAAGAGCATTCATATGAGAGAATTTTATTTCTTACAGGCTTTTTGTTAATGTAAAATAAATAGTACAGGAAAAAACTGATGGGGAAAGAGAAGTCTTGGATAAACCTTAGTCTTTCTTAATATCCCATAAGCTCAGTTTTGTAGATGGTATTTCTGATGCCAACACTATGTACAGAGTACTGTCCCTCACTGAAACAACTGCTAGAGATTGTTTTAGTAGTAAGACTTTATAAGCTTTGGAAGGGGAAATGTGTTGTTCTTAAGCAATTAAATATTTGTTTTCCCGGAATGCATCCTTACAAAAACAAAGCAGTTTTACTGTAGGGTTTATAAATTCAGATGTTGGAAAGGGAAGGTTAATTTGAAAATGGATTTTATGCTTTCTAAGAATCTTCAAAGACAATAGAAAGCTTAGGTCAAAGGAGAAAAGACGAATTACTTAGTTTAGCCATGTCTGTTGCAGAACAGAGCTGACAAGTTTTTCTGAAGTTATGTTGCTAAGAAGAAAGGGGTAATGAAATGCAAGTTCCTGCAGATCGTGGCATGGTTATGGCTGTTAGCCTGATCTTGCTGCTGAATGACTAAAGTGTCGTAAATATTCTGTTCCCCTTGTGTGTTTGATTAGCATATTATTTCTCTTTAATTCTCTAGGTTCTGGCCTTCACATGTGTTTCCTGAAGGTATTTCTTGTCATTCCAAAGCTGCTGTTCACAGATAAAACAGAAAAGCAGTGTATAAATTTATTAACTACATGTTGAAAGAAGGGATTCTAGGGTGCCTTGTTTACAGGCGCTTCTAGCTCCTTGTGTACAGGAGCATATCCATTCAAATACTACTGTACTGCGGTATGAAAAGCACCAGGAAATCATATCTATGTTTTATAATCATCCTGTAAGGATCAACCATCACTGAAAGGGGGATCGGGGTTGTCATGCAGTAAACACAAGCCATTTTTAATATTCCCTGCTGGCGTGAGGCGTTATAATGGTGGAGTGATTGCACTATGATCTCATGGAGTGATGTGCAGTTTGGCTGTCCTCTAGCCTTTTTGCTTCAACTTTTTTAATACTTTGTTCTCTGTGTGCGTGTGAAAATTGTGTGTTTGCCTAAGCTAGTTCAAATGAATTTAAGTACAGGTTTCAAAAATCTTTCCTACTGAAATAAATGATTTAAAAGATGGCCTGTGTCTGAAGTTTTAATTTCTCATTAAAAAAACTGTGTTGATGTGGCAGCCAGGTTTTGCAACATGGAATTTTACTCTCTTTCAGAACGATTCTGAGATCAGCTAGAATTTTTGTAGATTTTGTTTTCAATGAACCTCTGAAATGTAGCGTGTAAATAGACCATTGTCTGTTAGTATAAAATAAATCCAAAACCTAGCAGGAAAATACAGTTCATTTAAGAGATTTATGCTTGTTTTTAGAGATAATTCTGTTAACTTACGTGTTTTTCTTTCCAT